AAAATAGCACTTGGAAGTCTAAGTGTACAAGTTGCACTATCAAGGGAGGTGAGCTACTAAGAGCCACTTAATAACCAAGCCTTTTCAAGTGGAAATCACTAAACTCCTTTGTGGTATTTTCAATTCCCTAAAACTTTTCACAAATTTTTTTTATGATTATGCTTTTCACAATTTGTTTTTAAAACTAACTAAGCGTGACAAGTAAAAGCTACACAATGCTAGAAGAAATAGGGCAGCAAAGTAAACAAAAACTAACTAAGCGTGACAAGTAAAAGCTACACAATGCTAGAAGAAATAGGGCAGCAAAGTAAACAAATTAAAGACAAGCAACTTAAAGGAAGCAAGGATAAGCAACTAGTCGGTTTGCCCTAAGTGGAAGCTTGAAACATATGAAATTTCCAAGCCACTTCCACTAGTACTACACGTGAGTAGGCTATCAAGGGTTAGATATACCTGACCAGCTTCTTAATACTCCCTCCAAGCTTTACAAATTGGTTTAAAATACAAGAGAGATTGCAAAAATTTAAACTAGCCTAGAAAACTATAAATGGCGGCTTTAGTGACCAAGTTAGTGACGGATTTGGTTGTCCGATTTTCTAACACTTGTTTAAGTGTTTTAATCCGCCACTAACCCTTGAATTAAGTTGCTCCTGGACCTGCACAATGAACACAACAAAAATGGTTAATGAAGGCTGCTCACAAGATGAAAGGAAAGGTCACTCTTGTGAAGGTGGTTTAGGAAAAGTTTGGTCACTAAATTAGGTCAAATTTGTACTCTTAATGTCCAAAACTTTTCCTTCTCTTTGTTGAGTCAATGCTTAATCCTTAAGCAAGGATTTGAGGCCACTTCCAGCACAGAAATATTATTGAAAGAAAACAAGACAAGCAACAAAAGCACAATTTAAGAAGCTTATACCGTGGCGACATTCATTACAGCATAGGGAACGTTATGTTATATGGTAATGTCATTTGGATTAAAAATGTTAGAGCAACTTAGCAAAGAGCCATGGTGACCTTGTTGCATGACATGATCCATAAGGAAGTTGAGGTCTACGTAGATGACATGATCTCCAAGTCAAAAAGCGAATGTGACCATCTCGTTCACCTAAGAAAACTATTTAATTGACTCTGAAAGTACCAATTAAAGCTAAACCCTACCAAATGTACATTCGGAGTCCGATATGGAAAAATCCTCGGATTCATCGTCAGTAAAAAAGGGATAGAGGTGGATCCAGATAAGGCCAAAGCCTTCATAGAGATGTCGCCCTCAAAGATAGAAAAGAAAGTCAAAGGTTTCCTTGGAAGAGTAAATTACATAGCTTGTTTCATATCTTAATTGACCGATACTTGTACTCCCATCTTCAAACTACTCTAAAAGAACCAGCTGACAGAGTGGAATGAAAAATGCCAACTCGCGTTCAACAAGATCAAACAATGTTTGACAAACCCGCTAAAATTAATGCCTCTAGTAGAAGAGAAACCTCTAACCCTATATCTTACAGTATTGGAAGGTTCCATGGGATGTATGCTAGGTCAACGGTGTGAAGCCAATAATCAAGAAAGAGTTATTCATTGCCTCAACAGGAAATTCATAGATTACGAGATGCAGTATTCACTATTAGAAAAGATCTATTGTGCTTTGGTATGGGTCGCTCAACGATTAAAACAATATATGCTAAGGCATACCACCCAGTTGATATCAAGAATGGATCCCATTAAGTATCTGTTTGAGAAGCCTATACTCACTAGGAGGGTTTCCAGATGGCAGGTATTGTTATCAGAATACGACATCACCTATCTTGCACAAAAGGCAATCATGGGTAGCGCTTTGGCCGATTATCTAGCAAATGGACCGACTGATAAATATCATGCGGTAAAGGATAATTTCCCCGACAAAGAAGTTTTAGCTCTGGGAAATGAGGAAGAAGGGAAAACTATGGAAGAATCCTGGACCATGTTCTTCGACGAAGCCTCAAAACTGATGGGAAATGGGGTGGGCACCATACTAATGTCGTCCCAAGGAAAGCACATCTTGGTAACGACAATATTAGACTTTGATTGCACTAATAACATGGCTGAATATGAAGCCTGCATATTCAGTTTGCATGTCGCCCTCGATAATGGCATCACGAGATTAGAAGTCTATAACGACTCAAATTTTGTAATACATTAGTCAAGGAACGAATGGGAAACTAGAGATTCCAAAGTAGTTCCCTATTGGGAATACATTCAAAGCTTAATGCTCCAGTTTGAGTCCATCAACTTCGAACACACCCCAAGAGAAGGAAATTAGTTGGCGGATGCCTTGGCCACATTATCCTCCATGTTCGCCATAAAAGAAGGAAGCAAGATGCTAGTCATTAGAATTCAACGTCATGAAGTACAAGCCCATTGCTTCATGATAGACGAAAAACGCGATGGCTACCCATGGTATTTTGAAATCCAATAGTATGTCGAAGGAGGAAAATACCCAACCTGAGCAGCTGACAATGATAAGAAAACGATTAGACGTAAGGCAATCAGATTCTCATCACATGGAGGAGGCCTTTACAAGAAAGGTTTTGATTTAGTCCTCTTAAGGTGTGTCGATCACAAGGAGGCTCAATCCTTGATGAAAGAAATTCATGAGAGAACCTTTGGTACCCATATGATAGGACATACCATGGCCAAAAAAATCATGACAGCAGGATATTTTTGGTCAACCATGGAGAAGGATTGTATCCTGCATGCAAGAAAATTTCAAAAATTCCAAATATATGAGGATAACATCCAAGTCACACCTAACGAATTCAATGTCATGACATCACCATGGTCGTTCTTAATGTGGGGCATGGACGTCATTGGAGCCATTGAACCCAAAGCTTCGAATAAACATCAATTCATCCTCGTAGTCATCGACTATTTCACCAAATAGGTTGAAGAAATGTCATATGCACATGTAACCCGCAAGGTGGTGGTCAATTTCTTTATGAAAAACATAATATGCCGATATGGAATTCTTGACAAGATTATAACAGATAATGGATCTAACCTCAATAACAAGATGATGACCGAACTATGTGGCTCTTTCAAAATTCAACATCACAATTCCTCTCCTTATAGATCCAAAATGAATGGGGCTGTTGAAGCAAGCAATAAGAATATCAAGAAGATTCTTTAAAAAATGGTCGTCACTTACAAGGATTGGCATGAGATGTTACCTTTTTGCTTGCATGGACATAGAACATCTGTCGATACATCAATCGGTACTACACCTTTCTCCTTGGTATATGGTATGGAGGCAATCTTACCTGTAGAAGTGGAAACTCCTTCTTTAAGATTTCTCATGGATGCAAAACTCCTCAAGGTTTAATGGATACAGAGTAGATTTGATCAATTAAACCTCATAGAAGAAAAAAGACTGGATGTTATTTGCCACGGACAAACTTATCAAAGGAGGATCAAGAAAGCTTTTAATAAGAAGGTTCATCCTTGACACTTGCAAAAGGCCGATCTCGTGCTCAAAAAGCTCTTACCATCTCAGAAGGACAAGCTAGGGAAATGGACACCAAAATATGAGGGTCCATATGTGATCAAACCGACTTTTTCCAATGGAGCATTGATCCTTATCAACATGTATGGTGAGAAACTAACTTATCTAGTAATTTCCGACGTCGTGAAGAAATACTACACTTGAACAGGATCGCTTGCAAAAAAAAATCCCCCTTGGATACATCCTAGGAAAAAATTAGGGATAATACAAGAAGGCAAGTAACGAATACCCAAGATAAAAAATTGAAAGGCGATTTGGACACCTTGCCAAAAAACTAGGGTCCTTCAAGAAATCCATCCAAAGTTTGAAACATGCAATCCAAGGAAACTAGGAGGATGATTACTTTTGCTTTTCGAGGAATATGTTTGTCTAATCCCAAACACCGACCTACCACAGCCATCCATTCCTTTTAAATCCCTTTTTGTAATCCATTCCCTTAAAGCTTTTTATATTAATAAAGATATCATTTCTATTTATTTCTCTTAACCCTGCTAAAATAACATGTTTTGTTATTGATTAAACGAAAATCAAACAAGTCCAAATAAAGGAAAAGAAGTGAATAAACAAACAATCCCACGTGAGCTCCTAACAAACAGAAGAGATGTGAAACACATCAGGCCAAAAAAATCTCAATTTACGAGAGGGAAGTGGAAAGTCACCTTCCAGAGATAACGAATGAATATCCAAGCGTGCACATTACATATGCATAACACGCATTTTGGAAAGACCCTTTCTACATAAAGGGGAATTATCTGAAAAAATAAAGAAGTGAAAATTTAAACATTATTTAGCAAAACATGCACTTATTACCTGCACAACAAATAAGAGAAGTCAAAACAAGTCAGAAAATGGAAAACATAAAAAAGAGGCAAAGCTTTAACACTAGAAAAAATTGGAGCTAAAGAATAACAAAAAGATCCTCAAGAGAGGGACTCAACCACAAGCATGGGGAATTCATCCTCAAGTAAAAGATAGATCCTCCCCACAACAACAATACTACCTCATGATCAAGTCAAGTAATCTGACAAAGATCAGAACCATCTACATGTCAACCATGACATCATCAAACCATAACATCTTCAGGCTACATCAATATCTGACACCATACCAACACCCCCCAACCAGTACAATAGACCATTCAAGTCATCCATATTAGGATCCCCGTGCTCACAATAAGCACTACTTGAGGTAGCATGTCAACAACACATCCACCTGAATCCACCTTAGCAATCAACACCCATCCATAAGGAAAGCTTAACATTCACAACACACGCCTTGAGAGGCATCATAATACTCACTTGACAAGAACAAGACTAGATTCCTGCCAACTAGTCACCAATTTAGAAAATCTACAGAATACAGTTGGAGAGGCATCATAATACGCATATGGTGGGAAAGATACAGAATTCTCACTACATATCCTCAATATAGCCACCTAGAGAGGCAGCACAATACTCACACAGCAGGAACAACACCAAAATCTTTGCCACACATTTCATCCCTAATAATAATTCCTGGAAAGTCATTGCAATACTCACATGGCGGGAACAACACCATAATCCATGCCATCCATTCCCTAGTAAAGATGCTTGGAGACAACCAGCAAAGACAACCCAAGACAGGGGCACATCAAGAACCTTCTGCCCGTCATCCATAGGGTAGCCTCCATTATAATTTAAGCAGGCAAATGAAGACATCACTAGATTCCTCAAACTACATCATCAAAATAAATGGCCTGGAGAGGCCAACACAATAATACTCACCATCAACGCGGTTGGCCTAGAGAGGCTACAAAGAATACTCATCGACTTGGAGAGGTTATAACAAGAAATACTCATCAACCTGGATAGGTTATAGTAAGCAATACTCATCGACCTAGAGAGGTTATAGCAAGCAGTACTCATCCCATGGGTCGGCTAAAGCCCTAATAGTAGTCCAGTCTAGAGAGGTTGAGCTTAAAAAATATTCATCTCCCAAAATGGTACACGACAAAGCCACAAAGGAAAAGTCTGGAGAGACAATACTCATCGACCTAGAGAGGTCATAGCAAGCAATACTCATCAACTTGGAGAGGTTATAGCAAGCAGTACTCACCACATAGGTCAGTTGAAGCCCTAATATCAGTCCAGCCTAGAGAGGTTGAGCTTAGAAAATACTCATCTCCCGAATTAGTACACGATAAAGTCATAAGGGAAAACTTTGGAGAAACACTATTCACATCCCAACTTAGGCTGGCTGAAGCCTTAATGTCACTCTAGCCTGGAGAGTTTGAACTCAAAATATACTCATCCCTCAATGAGTTTTGAATAAATCCTCACACCATCACCAAACAAGTAACTAGAGGCATCAGCGTGGAGCATTCACACCAAGCTGGAAGTCTAGATGGTACAATTTATCATCCTTGTCACCCAACGAAACATGCAACTTGACACTCAATTGTTCCAAAGGGCAAGGATACAGGTAAACCCATCTACCCGAAGGAAACGATGTGGAGGCACCGACACTAAAAGGCCTTAATCACGCCATTACTGAACAAATGACCAGGGGCATTAACGTGGAACATTCACACCAAGCCAAAAGTCCAAATGATATAATTTACCATCCTTGTCGCCCAACAATACAGGCAACTCGACACTCAATTTTTCAAAAGGGCAAGGATACAGGTAAACCCATCTAATCGAAGGAAATGATGTGGAAGCACCTACACTATGAAGCAAAAGAGAAGACCCAAACGAAATGTCTATGTCTTTACTTGCCTTTAGAAAAAACAACACATAGCTATCCAAAGGACAAGTAAAGAGGGGCATTTGTAGACACCTAATTTCGTCTGGGACATGCAAACAAGGAAATGGGCCTTTAATACGAGACAAAGAAGTTTCTGAAGGCCAAAATAGGGTGTCAGAATGAGCCAACGCAACACCGAAATGGCCCATTAACATCATAATGGACCAGGAGGACATTAAAAGGCCCGAAAGACCAAAGAGGTCGAATTAGGAGCACGAAACAGGTCATTCCTGTCGTAACCCAAAAAATTCAAATCTTACGACAAATGCTTTAGACTACAATTTTGAAAAATCTTATTAATTAAGAAATGCCTGGAAACCAAACTAATCCTCAAATAATGGTTTTGAAAATAGGTTACAGGAGTTGCCACCAACGTTTTACTCAAAATATTGGAAAAAGAAAAGATTTTGGAAAATCCAATTTTTGGGCTTGATAACTCAAATCGGGCTCGAGGGTCAGTTACGTGTAGGGTATGATGGAGAAGGTAAGGAGGAGTGAATGTGGTTCTTCTCCTTAGCTTCACCTTAGCTCGGATCTTCTTCAAAGGAGCTTAAGACCGAATGGAATGAAGTCTTTAAGGGAGGAGGATTTTCGGAAGGAATGAGGCTAAGCTTTGGATGGAAGTATCCAAGCTTAAGGAGCAATGGATTGCTCACATCAAAGAGAAGGAAGAAGATGAACTTCTAGGGTTTGGGAGAGGAATTCTCTCGGTGACTATGAAGGGGAAACTCGGCAATATTTTCTCTCAAATTTCATTAAGTTCAAAGTGTTTACAAATGTGTGAAGGAGGGGATTTAAAGGATCCGGAATCAAGGCACTTTGCGCCAATGTGAAGGCTTCACATGTGGCGCCAATTT